TTACTGAGTGAGTCTAGAAAAGAAAAGAAAAGAAAAGAAAAGAGATCGGATGGATCGACAAGAATAGATACATACATACCAGATGAGCTTGTACGTAAAGGCTGTGTAATTGAAACTTGACTATTTAAACTCGATTGGATTGGGATTCCACTTCGATTTCTTGTTGACCATTTTGAGTGTAAATCCAAAAAGAAAATGGAAAGAATCTTAACTCGATCATCAACACCTTCACTTCATCATCAAAATCAAAATCAAAATCAAAATCAAAATCAACTTGAATTACTTTTACAAGAACCTTTAACTGCTCATTCACCTTCACCTTCACCTTTATCTTCTCCTCATTTCGATTTCAATCGAATCATTCATTCTCAACAATCTTCTAAAGTTAACTCAAGAGCTCCTTCTCCTGTTTCTAGAATTCATTCTTCTAACTCTCTTCATCATCATCATCACCATCATCATCATCATTTAATCAATCGAACTTCTGCTACTTCTACTCCTTTAGGTTCTCCTAAATCTGGCTCTTCTCTAGGTGTCACTTTACCGTAAGTTTATATCGTTTTCATCTTTTCCAAACAAATATACTCATCTTTTCTCTCTTTATTTTCGATTTTCAGTCTAGTTACTAATCCAAATACAAACACTAGACCCAACACACCACATTATTTTCAATCACTCCATTATCAAAATCATCAGAATGGAACCATTGAAGAATTAGAAAGACTTAGAAGAGATCATCAAATCGAAATCGAAAGATTAAAAGAAGAATCTCAATCATTGAAGGATGAAAAGGCTTATTTGATTGCCAAGAATTTAAGATTAGAACGTGAATTGAAATCTATCACTCATTCGGTTCATAAACCTCCACAATCTCATTCTCATCATTCGATTCAACCTTTGACTCAAATCGATCAACCTGTACGTGATTTGTTGAGATTTCTTAAATCCGTTTTCGGACAGTGACTAATGTTTGGATTCTTTGGTTTGGTAGATTTTGAGAAGACCAAGTTTTAATCGATCTAAATCAAATCCAAATGTATTAGATCGAATGTCTAATCTAAGTCTTTCAACCCATCAAATCCATCATTTACATCAATTACATCGAAACGCAAGTAACGTGACGACTCCAGCCACCACTGCACCACCTTCACCTAAATCCAATTCGAAATCCCATGAAGATTGTCAAGATTATGTGACGTTAAATTCGATTCAAAGACCACATCATTCAAGAGATTCATCATTCAATATGATCCCGATCATTAATCATTCTAGATCAAGTTCTCCTAATTTAAAAAGTATTTTGAAAAAACCTTCAATGAATAATTTGGTTCATCATCAACATGGATTAGCTAGATTGGCTGGAATCGATCAGATTGGGTCTCATCATTCCATTAGTCATCATCAAAGACGTCAGAGTGAAACGTTTGGGATCTGAACGATTGAAAAGATCTTATCAATCAAATCTTATGTTTCTCATAAGACTCCATTCAAAATAACCAAAAAAACAATCACATCATAGATTTCTCTTTTTTTTTTCTTCTTTTTTTTTTCTGGTTCACAATACCTTGTTATTTTTAAGAATTATCATCATTATAGATTTCTTTACTTCTTTTGTTTTCTCTCGTCTCCTTTCTCTCGTCTTGGTTATGTCTCATCTTGGTTATCTGATCATCTTGGTTCTCTTCTCATCTTGGTTCTCTTCTCATCTTGGTTATCTCTCATCATAGATCTCTCATCCCGGTCATCCTGTTCTTCTGTTCTTTTTTTCTTTTTTTCTTCCTGATTCTGATCATCAACCAAATCCATCTTTCTTTTCTCTCTTAAAATGGCTTTCTGTTTTGTTGTAAATTGTATATATATGTATATAGATAACGAGATATATGGTGTGTTTTTTATATATATTCAAACATCAGTTATATGAATCTAGTGTTTTGTGAAATCGGTTTCTTTGTATTTTTTCTCTTCTTTTGTAATATGTTTTGAATTGAAATCAATGAAATATATTACATGAGACCCATAAAAAAAACACACACACATAAAGGAAACATGATTGAAATGATGTAGATACTAAATTCTTAAAAAAAAGTGATAATTTCAATGGGTTAGTTTTAAGGTCTTTAAAGAAGTTGATCTGCTGGTGTATGTATTTGATCAACATTTTTGGACGGCTCTGTGAAGGTTGACACTTGGATAGAAAATAAACACTAGGTTAAAAATCAAAAGCATTAAGGAAGGTCTATGGATGAATAAGCAGGATTATATAAGAAAGATTGAAGCTGTGCAGGTGATCAGATTGTGATTAGATAAGCAAACTGTTGATGTAATTGTTACTTAGTCTTCAAGATGTTTCAAAGAAATTGAGAAGTAAATTAATGGAAAACACAGATCTTGTTGTATGGTTGTACTGAAGTAGCTCAATATACAAGGATAGGTTTTCTGAGTAAAAAGAAGATTGGATAAGTAAGATTGTCTATATTAGTACATCAGATTAAGAATCTATGTGTTTCTGATCATTTGATATATTTCAAACAGATTGAGAACACAAGATGGATGGAAAGTCTAAAGAGATTTGTCAAGTTTACTGATCACACTGAATTATTTTTTTCAAGACTTGGGTTTGAAAAGTTGTAAAAAAAGTCATGTTGAGTTAGCAAAAGGAAAGATATGATGAGAAATAGTATGATACCAATGAACTAGTCACAGGACATTATCTATGTTTTAAAAATACATCATCATTGACCCTTTGATCAGAATTGGATACAGGGTTCTTGATGATTTCTGGTCTGATGTGATGGTACAGGAAAGAGTTGGTTGTTCTTATAAGTGATGATTTTCCAAGCATACATTCAACTTGTGTTATGTAGTTGAGTCAAGTTTTTTTTTTGCTTTTGATTGGTAGTTTTCTCGAGTTGTATCAAAGCCAGAATCTCTGATATCTCAATTGTAGTTTGCGGAAAGTTGAGTTCTGTTGGTATAACAATAAAATTTAAGAAAAAGCTTTGAACGATTTTTAAGATTGTTAAAATCATGGCAATATTCATGCTTTATGATTTTGAATGTGTTATAGAGAGTGATGAACATGATTGTAGGTTCTCAATTTCTTGAAGTTGTGCAAAGTTCAAGTCTAGTCTTAGGCCCCGTTTGGTTGCGATTGATTTTGGTGTCCTACAGTAAAAGTGTACCACAGGAAATGAGCAAATAATGCAGGAAAATTTCCAACTCACAATTTAATTGCAGTACAAAAATAAACAGTGGTTTTTAGGAATCATTGTTTGGCAACTCACAACCAAAGCCAAATTACAATTCTCATTATTGATTCTTCATCAATTGGGTTCATCAAATCTCTTGTTTACTCAGTCGATTTATCTATCTTGGCTTTCATTAAAACAGGTCATTAGATCATTGAAAGTTTCATGTAATTCCATTTTATTTCTACTTTATCATTCTTGAATCGAGCTCAATCCAAAAGATGATATTTGTCATGACACACAATGTTGTCATGTTTCTCATCAATCTCGTTATCCTCATCTTTCTCATTATTCTCATTAGTCGCATCATTCAAATTTCACTTCCATTGGTTGTTGACTTAAAAAGAGTGATGATATCAACAGATGATGATTTTGATAACTTGAAATTAACAAACGATGATCTGAAGACACGGTGATATTGTTGAAGCGATGATATCAAAAAGTGATGCTTTTGATGATTGACCAGGTGGAGTGATCAATGAAGTAATGAGATCGATGAGGCAATGATGCCTATAAAAGGATTTCCCGGATTGTAATCACAAGTATGGGAAGAGGTCAAAATTGGACAAGTCCCCTTCTCACGTACGTAAATAATTGGAGGTAATCAGAAATAATCGCCAAAAAGGAGTTTGTAAGATTACCACATCATTGGGTGATTATTGTCCAAATAATGTGGTATGATAATCTCTCAATTTGGGCTACCAAACGCCCAAATTTAATTTGCAATTATTTTACTGCAATGGTCCAAATACCACAGTGAAATAATCGCGACCAAACGGGGCCTTAGATGAGTTAGTGGAGGTGCCCAAGACCTGATCCAGAGAGCTGTTTTTGGCAATCAGGGCTTGTGAGAATGGTGGATTACACAGCACTTCCAACATGGGTGCCTTGGCTTGAAAAATCTGAGGTATCATCAGAGGCAAATCCTTGGGCAGACCTTGTACAAGGTTTTATTCAAGATTAGTACTGAGAATCACCTTGGATCAAACCTTGGAAAGCTTCTGTCTAAGGTTTGGAATCCAAGAATATATACCTCAGATTGAAAAATCCAAGTTTGTAAATATCTTGGTGGTACATGAAACAAAGCAATATTTTCCTGTAGGAAGACCAATCACATTTCATGCAGTTTTTGAGCCAAAACACAGAAATAATGCCAACATAATACATCTTGGCTCATCAAATTTCTTGAATACAATAGCATGGAGATTCCATTATGGTTGGTTGAAAGCTCTCCTGATCAAATTCTTATGACAAACAACACCGCTAACATATTTACCTCGGATTACAAAATCCGAGATATTCTCGGATGCAAAACCTCGGACAGAAGCTTCCCGAGGTTTTGATCCGAGGTAATTCTCAGGGCAAAAAAATACCTCGGGCAAAAACCTCGGACAAGGTCTGTCCAAGGATTTGCCTCCGATGATGCCTCGGATTTCTCAACCCGAGGCATCTATGCTGGCAGTGCAAATGGTCTGGAGCCCATTTTACAGTGTTGATGATATTCCAAGTGTGAAGAATCTGATCATGACATCAGACACACTTGATGATTAGGGGGCCCATAATTGTTCATGTGGTCATTGTGCATCATTCACATCTTTAGATCAACTTTGAACATTTCTATGATGAATTGACAGTTTTGAGAAAAAGGTTGAGACAAGTGTACAAAAATAGTTCAACATATAAGTTTGTGATTTCATAACAAATTTCTTGGATGTAAACATATCTGCTTTTTCCAACACATGCATACATCAATCATGTCCATTTGAAACCTTCCCTCATGTAATATGGTTGCTCCTCAAAAAGTTGAAGTTCAATACCTTGGAGACTACAAAACTCTTTCAAGGGCGTAAGTGTAGAAGCCACAATAGGGTCAAGTGAATGACCCACCCATGCCATAGGCATCACTATCACCTTCAGCTTAGGGAAAACATTACTGATAATAAATTCACAAAATTCAGATAGTCGATGTTTACTATAAGAGTTACGAATCTCAAGGTGCTGAAGATTTGGACACTCTGTAAAGCACTGGTAATATTCGCACAAAGGATTGCGCCATAGGATCAAATGTGTTAAAGCTGGTAGACAAAAGTGATTGATGCTTGGGTCAAATTTTGGTATGCGATATCGTCGGTCGGGATCGGGGTCTTCGAGAAAATTGAGTTCCAGATGAGTTAGGTGGGGTGCCCAATTACTGATGAGCCGTGGTGTATTTGATGACCAAGTGTTGGGATAATGGTGAAGCACAAGATTAACCAATTGAGGAGGGCCCTCGTCCCAAGAGTTCTTCATAATATCAACTTCCATTAGGATCAGGTTTTTGAGGTTTTTGAGATTAGAAAGTGCAGTCTTCAAACTATTAGGACCTCCTCTTGATTCAACAAATTTGAGTTCGAGCGATTCAAGGAGTGGGAGATAAGTGAGAGGTTTACTAATAGTCTCTGCAATGACTGATCCTGAGTGGGTACCTCTGATCTTGAGATTTTTGAGGTGTTTGTGATGTTGAAGTCTTGAAAACAATGCGGTAAGATGGTGTCCCAATTGATATAACGAACCAGGATGACTCCCGTGACCTTTACATTTGAAATCAAGCGTGGTAAGGTTTTCACATTGAGGGAGTACTTTGACGAGTTCGTTGGAATAGACTTCGTGTGGTTCGTTGAGTACAATGTCATGTTGGACTCCAATGAGGCCTTGTTGATCAGGGAGGGCGAGTTTATCAAAACGGACGGATCGATAATCATTATAGCCTTTGATGTATCTGAATTTGTCTGAATCAGACAGGTGCAATGTGAAGTGGTCTTCTTCGATGTCTCTCGAATCCCTGGGTTTGTCGGTAAGAAGTGGCTGCTGGATATACACTTCTTTGACGAGAGATCCGTGTTTTGGTAAGATCTCTCGATCCCAGAAGGACAAAGGACGGGACATTGTGGGGAAGAAGTTGAGAGACTAGACCATAGCAGTAGCGAAGGATAAGAGAAGGACAGGATCAGTACAGGATCTTGTACCTTGAATACACTTCACGGCGAATCAAATATCCAACTCACCTGCCATAGGAGAGGCCGACAGATAGAATAAATCTTACGATTAACAATGGAAAAAGATTGAAAACTACTCAAGATCGGAGATTCTGGTTTGTATTTATATAGACATAAAGACCAGTTGTCTTCAGAGTTACATTTAGTCCACTCATCATCAGAGTCGTAGTCTGATATAAGAGTAATCGTTTGATCGATCTTCTGGCTGTAACTCTCGTGACACTTTCTAGAACTACCCCGGCGATTGGAAAAGTATGATATGATGTGGAGGATGATTTCCACTGGTAGACGATCAAATGCTGATTGGGGTGGAAGAAGTCGAGGTTTTTTTCTGCTTCTATTCTCCATTTTTGATTGATTGAAGTGGTTTGAGGTCAGATTGTTTGCAAAGGCAATGATGATGAGTTTGAAGAGGTAAGCTGGAAATTAAATCAGTCTGAGACTTCAAAGTTGTAAATTCAAACCGTTGGCTCAAAATTCGATAGCGTCTTTGAACTCAACAAAGCGAAAAGCTGGGGCTCATGGAGACTTCTGCCAATTCGGGTGCATCTCGGTAAAGGCTATATCCGCTCATGAAAGTGTAGCAGCAGGGATGCTGTCTGCTTATGCAAAGCCACCCTTGCATGTGGAAGTTGATGGTCTGGAGATGTTATGAGTCTGACTCATATTTGATAGAGGTGCTCAGTTATCTCATCGGTAACTTCAAGCCAAAACCTCATGGTACCAACCTCGGAAAAGCAGCAGCTATTGATCAACCCTTACAATTGATGCAGATGATGGCGGGAAAGGGTGCTGACTTTTGTCACCGTGTAATCTTCGATGTCATGAGACGTGGTCGGGTAAGTTTGATATGTCTTCTGCCACCCCGTCTCTCAAAACATAGAATGTGATATGGTGACTAGAGCCAAAAACAACCGTCATCCTCTCCATCAATTGTAAAGTTCATTGAGTACTGAGATTCAGAAATATCAAAAGCGAAAAAGATGACAGCATCAAAGAAGTAATCACAACACAATAGACCGAGTAAATGTTGTTCCAAACAATGAATCAAACCGATTTATCTTATCACTTGCTATAAGTTATTCCAGTTGAGTAAAAACAGAGAAAAATGACCTCAACACTCTTTCATACAGAGCACATAAAATAATTCCAATGACCTAGTATTGGCAAGATAAGATGATCATGATAAAAATGATTTCAAGAGATGAAGAATACTGTCTTTCCATAAAAGCTTGTCCAAAAAGCTTTCAAGAGTTGGAGTATTATATGTAAATCTAAGAGACAATCAAGCTGATCTTGAGCACCGCCAACATATTTACCTTGGAGGGGAAAAATGCATGTGTTCCCAAAGCCTCAGAATACTCGAAGGCTTGTGCAGTCAAAGTAGCTGCTACTGTAAGCTTAAGAGCATCCACAGTGGTGGGCTCCAAATTGGGGCTCCAAATCGAGCGAATTCAAATTTGGTGGGGCCCCAAATCAATCCGGATGCAGTCGTTCGGACTTCAAAAGTGTAGATTTATGGGTTTACAGAAACTTTGAGATTGGTACGCAGTGGGCTTACGTGTGTGAGGTATGGGATTGAACAAGTGCAGGAATTTGGAGCCCGGCTTTTTGTTGCCAAATATGTACATAGCCCAAAGCGCGAAATTTGAAGCCGGCTACAAAAAAATTTGGCGATGGGAACTGCCATTGCACCAAAAAATCGGGGCTCAGTCACCAAATTTGGCAATAGCCCCGATTTGGAGCCCACCACTGTGGATGCTCTAACTAAGCCCCTCACGAGCGCGTTCGCCGCGCCCTCGAACAGGGGCTTACATCGGACTCGCGGTTACTGGTGTGTGAGCTCCAAGAATTATGTCTTCTTATGTTGTTTTCTTCGCGTCTCCGCTTCACCTCACCGTAGAAAATGCAATACTTCGAGTATGTCCTTCTTCATGAAATGGTACACAACCTCATATGAGTTTCATGAGCAAAAGACAGACCTGCACAGCTTGAGCAATGTGTTAAAAGCACCAAAAATGGCCCTTTGGTCCTCTTGTAAATGGCCTAAGACCACCTAAAACACCACGTATGAAATTTCAAAGCACCAAATCCCTAATGTTACATCACAAATTCAGAACCCTTCTTTTCAGTTTACACCAATGTGTGTGATACCAGAATATGTACCATATCCTAAAGAAAGACATACCAGAAGCTTTGCATTTTCTATGGTGACGTGAAGCAGAGAAGTAAGAAAAACAACATAAGGGGACATATATCTTGGAGCTCACATGCCAGAAATTGCAAGTCCGATGTAAGCCCCTCTTCAAGGGCGCGGCGAACACGCTTGTGAGGGGCTTAGTTAAGCTTACTGCTACTGGGTAGCAGCTACTATCTACTACGTACCCCTTTATGACACGCAGGCATTGGAAGTGTCCTACCGTGAGACCTACATCAGTGTACAGCGTGCGCGAACTCTTAAACAACCATCCACAAACAGATGTAGTCTTCCCAAGCTTTTTGTTTGACCACTCACCAATGCTCCACCCTTTCAAACTGAAAATAAGAACATCACATTCCCTGTTACAAGCGGAAGCTTTGAACAATAACACTTGCTTCACTGCTATGTTATACACCATATGTGCATTCACTCAAATGTTTTTCACATTGCTAACCAAGTTCAGGAAGAACCTATATATTTGTTGAATAGCTTTCATGGTTCCAAAAGTCTCATTGGCAAGATTGAATCTGTTACCTTAAAACTAAATCAGAAATTGACTGGTAAAGAGAGAGATGTATCTCTGAGAAAGACAATAGACTGGCCTTGGATTTCTTCATGAATATGAACTGTCTTGTCTAAATTATCTCTAACATTATCATTAGTGTGAGTTTCAGCATGAGCTTTCCAACAAAATAATTGATCTGTAGTATTTTGACTGTTTGCTTCATGAAGCTGTTTATCTCTCTTAACGTGTGCAGTGTGGGGTTTGGGGCAATGGGCAGATGTTGTCTATCCATACAAGTGGCCCTCCGTGAGGGGATCTGACCGGGTGTGGAGGATTGGTGCGGTGATTGTGGAACAAATGTGCATTGGAAGGACGGTGAGGAGTCGGATGAGCGTTCTTGACAACAAAGATGGATGGGGATGTATCTGTTTTGGTTGGGGTGGTGTGAAGTTTGAGTACATACTGTTTCCAAAAGGGGGGGTGCTGCGGATTCATTTGGGTTGGGAGTAGCAGAATTGTAGTGGGTAGCCGTAGCCGCTACAAGATTGCACAACCCTTTGGTTACTCCCCAAAGCCTGAGACGGTACTCAACAGTCCATTTCAGTGAGTAATGTGTAAGTTGTAAGGAATATGAGGTGTCACAGATATTCCAGAGAGTGACAGCTCTTGCAGGGCTTCCGTGACAATGAGAGTGGTAGCACAGAGGAAAAATTTGCATCTCCTCTGTGTAGAATTCTACCACGTTCTCTCACCCCACAATATTTCCAATCTAGAACTTTTCTCTTGATATATCTCAACTCTCTAAGGCTTTAAGCTTTAAAAATTTTTGAGCCCACCCGCCTGCCCGGTGCTGAGAAGCCTGAGTCTACTAGATTTCTGGTCTTGCCTCTGAGGGGCGGAAATTCAAAGTTTCTAAGACTTAGACCTTGCTTTCCTCAAGGGCCCACCCCACACCACTATAGTAAATGTGTGAGCCTACTAGCTTCTGTTTGGCTAGTAGAGTCAATAAAAAAGAGACAGAAGTTTAAACAAACTTCTACTAGACTCAAGGGGGTTACAATCCACAAGTTGGAGTATTTAAGGACGTGAGCGTAGGAGCTTTACTTGTAATAAACAAGTAAAGACTCCAGTTAGATGACCTTTTAACAAAGGATTTCACGCCCAGGAATTTTGGGTAATTGTGCTTATTTGCAACAATTAAAATAGAGCCACTGACACACAGTTCTCAAGCCTAAATTGAGTCACTTCTTGTACAAAGAATGATCAATAAAGGAGGTGTTAAAGTCTGTCTTAACACCAGGAACTTTAAACTCTGACTAATAGAGGTTCCCCGTAGATTTAGAGTTTCTTATATCAGATAAATCCCTGATTTGACATAAGCCTTACTCAAGGACTACTTCCTTACACGTAATTCCACCAAATGGATATTACAAAGATAACTGATTATAGAGTCTAATCAGATAGAAACAAGGTTTGGATGCGCACACAATAAGGTCAACAAGACACAAGGTTGGAGATTCAAGGTTTGTAGAATCAAGCTTTCAAAGTTTGTAGATGTTTAGACAAAGTTTAAAAGTTCTATTAAGATGAAATGAGCAATCTGTAAAGTTTGTTGAATGTTAAAGTGATGATGTTCTTCTTCTCAATTTGGTTGGATTTCCAGGGTTTATATAGTCTAAACCTTGGAAATCTTTGGACTACAAGTGCGCACAAATTGTGGTTCTATGGTTAGGTTAATTACAGTAAGACAGTTACTATTGGATTATAAGTATATTTCACTTATTACATACATGCTACGGCTGTGATATATATGTAGCTTTGGTTTGCATCAAAGTTATGTATGTTCACACCCTTTGATGTAAGTTCTGCACATGTTACATATGCTAAATCATATGGAACTTGACTCTTGAAACTGAGCCTTGAGTTGTAATTGCTATTTTTAAGGTTTTTATTATCATATGTCACCCATTGGTACTCTGGTTTAGTACTCAGGGCTGAAAGAATGTATGTATATCACAACCAAAGTGATCAAACATCTACTGTGGTAGACCAAACTTCTGATAAACTTATGCTTATTATCTTCAAGCAGACACATAAGGTTCAAAAGAATCCTTTAACTTGTATCTTCTAAGTCCTTAAGCAACCCGAATCACACATTACAAACTGAAATGGAATCCGAGGTACCATTGGATTCCAAACCTTTCACAGAAGCTGTCTGAGGTTTTGATCTGAGGCAATTCTCAGTGCAAAAGATTACCTCAGACAAAAGCCTTGGACAAGGTCTGTCCAAGGATTTACCTCTGATGATGCCTTGGATTCCGCAACCCAAGGCATCTATTTTGGCAGTGGAGTAAGCCACACAAGGGTGCAACCTCAGTTTGTGGGCGCGCCCAGGCATGTTTTTTTGCATTTTTCTGCGCCTAGGCGCCACCTGGCGCGCCAGGGGTGTTGTTTCCAGAAAAACCTGCTGCAAGCTGAAATGCTGCTTTGCCAGCAAAGTTTATTCTACACTGCAGACTGCGTGGGCATGCCCACACCAGCTCAATTGCCAACTTACTTAAACTGTTCTAATTGTGCAGTAGATTGAGTTCAAAAACCCACAAAATACCAAAATGAAGCCACCTGGGCCAATTGTCACCACAT